TCTTCGCTTGTGTCGGTGATAATTTTCTCTTTCAAACAGTTAAAGTGGGCACGAGGGGATCTGCTTCCGTGGATTTAGTCCTTACTAACAGAGAGGAAATGACTGAAGATATTAAAATGGTGGGAACCTTGGGGCAAGGGACCCCGCGGTCTCAGAGCTCTTGATTTTCACAAAAAGCTTGGTGAAAAGCGGATTCTTGGTGTGGGTTTTAGCAAGGTCGATTTTAATAAACAAGGAGGAAGAGTAAGGAAGATGCCGCAAGAAGAAAACATGAAAGGCAAAGGCGTTGTAGCTGGGTAGGATTTTTTGAAAAGGAGAACACCCCAGCTTCCAACGATATCAGTGAGGAGCAAAACTAGGAAGCCTCTGAATGGGCAGCTCATGAACATGTTGAAACTAAAGACGGGTTATTGGAATTCCAGTTACTTATTGGAAATGGAAAGAAGGGTCAAGGGTCAAGGCAGTCTATGGAGTTTGAGCTCAGAAATGTAGGCACGAGGTCAGGAAAGCCGCAGTGGAAAATGAACTAAGGTTAGCAAGAGAAGCAAAATCCAGAAGGGTTTTTTCAAGTGTATCAACAGCAAGAGGAGATGGTGGGCTCACAGCTCATTCCAAATGGGTGACCAAGAGAAAACAGAGGATCTCAACTGCTCTCCTGCCTCTGTCTTTACATTCAAAGAATGTAATGATGGTTTGAGGAGCACAGACTCAACGCAACAGGGAAGTTTGCAGATCAGTAAAGATGTGGGAAAGGATCTTCTGGCTAATTTGAATGCCATGAAGTTGCTGATGAAACACATGCTGAACTGGCGCAAGAGCTGTTGGGGCCCCTGTCGAACATCTTTCAGGAACGCCAGAGAAGAGGAAATGAGGATCTCCCTCTTTAAGGAAAGGGAAAAAAAAAAAAAAGGATTCCAATAAAGATTGACCAATGAGTCTGACTTCAATACCTGGAAGGATGTTAGATAACAAAGCAGGCCAGTGCACACCTGGCCTGAAAACCACACAATGATTGCAAAGCGGCAACGTGACTTTGTCAAAAATAGGTCATGTGAGATAAATCTTGTCTCCTTTGGCAAGGTGAATACTTTGGTGGACAGGAGAAATATTGTTGATATTTCTCCTGTCCACCAAATATTGACAAGGTTCTGCAAGATATTCCCTTGGACAATCCATTCATGTATAGTTTGGATAGCACTATGTTAAGGTGGGGCCCCAACTGGCTGGCCAACCATACCTAGAGAATCTGCACTGATGGTTCTACATCTAGTTGGAGAGCAGTAACTAGTGTGGTTCTGCAGGGATCAGTCTTGGGGCCAATTTAATTCAACATTTTTATTGATAACCTGGATGACGGGATTTTTATTTTATTTTTTACGGCCAGTCATTTCACAACACTTAGGGAGAAATCTAAGGTATTACATTTAGGGAGGAAAAAACATAGGACACATATACAAAATGGGGAATTAGCGGCTTGGAGATACTACATCTGAGAAGAACTTGGGTATGGTCATTGACAACTAGCTGAACATGAGTCAGTAGTGTGAGATTGCTCTTAGAAGAGCTAATGTAGTTCTGGGCTGCATTAAAAGACATATCGTATCAAAGGAACGT